GATTTCTACAAAGTGAGGTCACTGCCGAATTTCAGAAGAAGTAAGTAGATATTAATTTTTAGCTGCATATATATGTGTGTATGTAACACGTTTTTAATGATGATATATTTTCGGATTCCCCATCATTTGACTGTTAAATGACACTAAATCCAAACTGATTTGACTTAAAAATTAAAATTTGCAATGTAATACTGGAATTAACTACATAAAAGTCTTTCTTTTCAGACTGATTTTCTAATCGTTAGCAGAGAAGCTACTACATATATGCATTTATGAGGCGTCTCAGGTCAAGAGTTCTCACTGGAAAAACATCCAAAAAAATTATTGTACAGAAAATTTAAAGGTAATTTATAAAAAAAACAGTGGGCATACATATGTATGAATATATATGCTTATAATGCGTAACTAGAGCGAGATAAATGTTATCGGCCATAATCACGGCTTTCACTGAACCCATCGTAGTCCGAATTTACGAAAATGCTATCACTGAATCCGAATAGCTGCAAACGAAGGAAATACTTTGAATGCATACATACGTTCGTATCAATTCGGATTCAGTGATCGCATTTTCATAGATTTTACAAAATTGTCTACGATGGATTCAGCGATAGCCCAGAATAACTAAAATGCCGCGATCATCAACATTTATCCGGTTTTTAGTGAAAATTTTAAGCATGTAAAATATTTTATATTCTGATGAAACTTTGACCCAGCTCGCTTCGATATACCATGAAGAGAACATGTCCCATTATCCAACGCAATTAATTTTTCTGACCGTTTTTTTGTTCACCTCGATTTATTTCTATAAATAGATATACGATTTTTAATATATATATTTTTTTTTCAGGTTTGTATATTTCAGGTCGACATTTTGTTAACCACGACGACGCTATATTTACAACAAAATTTATCAACAGATGCTTTGAAATAAAAAGGAATAAACAAATAAAATTGTAAAAAAGGAAAGCCATAAATAAAGCAAATCGAGAAATTTTATTATGGGGCATTTTTTAATACAAATAACTAAAGAAATAGGATTAGGAGTTTTAAAATATTTATTTTCTCATATCAAATAACGAACGATGACATTCTAAGAAAGTATCGTTACATGAAAACAATAGGGCTGTTCATGATGTCGTGGAAATGGTCTTGGATTTGCAGTTGGAATTGCATTTGCAAATTTTTTGCTTGCTGCCATTTCAACCGTGTGCATTTTATTGTTGTGAATTTACAAATACAACGAATATGCAAATTCAAAAGCATTGCACAAGATCCTGAAAAGTCCTATTGATATTAATTGCTTCGTTGCCTTGTAAGATCCTGCGATAATGCAGCGAATCTTTTTTGGCGATCCGATTCCATCTGTTTAGCCAACTCCCACGCATCTTTGTCAAGCACATTTTTACCACGTGCAACGGCCAATAAACGTGCTAGCACTAGTAAATGATGAAGTTCTTCAGCATCGCGAATACTTTTGTTCTTACGCATTTCCACAAAATCATTTTGAATCATTTCACTCTCAGCTTCATTTACACTGAATTCTGTGAGCTTAGCTGTTGTGAGAAAGCGTCTAAATTGATTTAGACGTGTTGGGTTCAAGTAATGGTGCGCAGCCTTTAGCGACTCTTCTATAAGTTCAACAGTGTGCTCGTCATACTCGATAGGAACATAGGCGTCGTACTGCGGGGGAAGAATATTAAACCACATTTTATACATAGCCTGGTTTCAACAATGAACACTTACTGGTAGTACACTTTTCTTCTCGCTAAAACACAATATTGGTATGTCTACATCATATTCAATTTCATAGTACTGGAAATTGCATTTTAGCTGTTGATGCTTCATTACATGTCCCAGGATCTGCATAGACAATAGACCATTGCTGTTTAAGGTATCAGATTTAGTAAAGGTTTCGTCTATAACTAGGTGAGTTTGTGGTGCCAACTGAAGCATGCCAGAGACTAATTTGTTGGTTTCATAATCTTTCCTATTGGTAAAATCAAATCAGCAATGTTTTATTTCAAAAATGTTTACGTACTTTGGTCCAAAAGTTGAATCGTTCAATGTCTCTGCGGTCATTGTGATATAGTGGCTGGCGGGAATTAGCAAATCCAATAGGTTATATACTTCTTTTGTATATTGTTGTAAGCGACTCTGGGGTATATTGAAAAGATTGAGAAGAAACCTCCCAAGACATCGAGTTTCTGCTCGGCAATATCTGCGACAATAGGAGTAAATACAAATATTTATGTATAGTTATAGAAAAACGGAAAATTACAAACGCTACTTACACTGATGATATAAGGTGTGATAGCAGATACTCTGCAGCCAAATTATCATTGAACAAACACAGTTTTAAAAATACGCGAAACTCATTTCCTGTTGATAACATGTTAAAGTCCTCAGTTAACTCCAGGTTAACACTTTCTGCCACAGGAGATAGCAGCCTTTCATCCATCAAAGGGTTAGCATGTGGAAGACAATGAACTGCTATTGCATGAAGACGTGGTATCAATGAAGGCGGCGGGTTTTGTGCTTGGATCTCATTAATGTTGTCGAAGGCATCAACATCCATCGTTGATGCGTCTAGTGCGGGATTTACAGACAGAAAACCCACCACATCAAGAATTGTATTCAATTTATATTTTTCAAAGTCACTATAAATTTTAATTAAGCAAGCTTTGCTAGGACGATTTGGTATTGGCGAGTTTAAATGATATTCCATACCAATAACTGCGCTTGAGCGGTGATCCGAGCAGTTACGTCCGGAATCAGCACTACCTAGTACCTCTGTTCGTTTTCGCTTATGAGCATCACAATCGGGACTCTGTCCGCCAGCAGATTCTATTTCAACATCCATACATTCGTCTTCTGTCGGCGCTGAACGCTTCTTTGCACCCTCGCCGGCCATTTCTGTTATCATTGGCTTAGGCAAATTGTAACGGCTGCATTGAGATTCATATTCATGACACCATTCGTTTAAACCAGGAATAGATATAACAAAGAAAGCACGGCGTTCACCATGAACACTCGTCTCCGCATCGTGATTTAAACGTTCCCCATCATTTAATAACAAACAATCCCGATATTTCCCTTCTTGAACTCTGGAGGTGTTATCCGCTTCCTTTGTAACTTCATATCGCTCCAAGTACATTTCGGGGTCTAGCATATCTTGAATCATGCCTCGGAATCTCACAATGCTCATATCCTTCAGCTCGTGCAAAGGAGTATAGTTCAGCAAAGGAATTCCAGTCCACCGCTTTGGATCTTCCAACGATGTGACAAAAGCAGTTCCAGCTTTACTTGCCAGTTGCTCTGGTAAGAAATTCGCACTCAAGGCAGGCATTTTCGCTATTTAAAATTATAAATACAATGGGCAAATTCGCAAACCGGTAACAACTTGGTAACAAGATGTAGATGTTTTGCTTGTGTTGTGATTGGCGCCAAGAAAAGGCACTTCAGCTGGGAACGCTAATAAAAGCACTTACCTCGCGACTCCACTGGCAAACACCGAATGCCTTCCATATTTGCTTTTGACAAATAGTTGTGAGCAATATGATTGCAAGTTTTCGTGTGTGTGGGCACTTTGATGTCTTGATATAAGCATTTGCCGCATGACAGGACCAGACAACATTATATCTATTTCAGTGTTTAAAAACATTTAAATTCTTAAAAAACTTGCATTCGCACCATGGAGAAAAAAGGCACCCTAAAATTGTGCATATGGAAACTGCATACGAAATAAAGCATATAAAAAAAAAAAAAAACGAAATAATGCATATATGCACAGTTTCGGTTGAAAGCCGAAATAACGCATATTAGAAAACCCAAAATTACGCATATGCACACTTTCGTTTGAAAACCAAAATAATGCATATGAGAAAAATGTGGAAATTATTAAAAAGTAGATAATTGCATTAAAGTTCAATAAATGTGAGCGTTATAACTATAAAATATGACGAAATTGTAAAAAGTCTCTATGTGCATGCACAAAACACATTTCAGGAAAATAAAAGAAGAGATATTACTGAAAAATTAAGTCTAGAATTGTTACAGCACAGTGTATATTTCAAAAATTGCAGGTTTTTGTAAATATTTCGCGAAAATATCAACCAGAAAAACAGAAAATACCTGCTCCAAGTAAATTTTTAGACGCCAAATGAATTGAAATATTACGACCGAGAGTGCGAAAGTGTAGTCGTCATGTAATCGTTGCATCATGATTGTGACGATGAAGCAACTATGATCGGACGACCAATGTGCAGAAAGCTTTAGTTTCACAGTTTGTTTAAACTGAGAATTTTCATAAAGTTGTGTTTTTCCACAAAATATATGTTCAAAAGAACGTGGAGTAAGCTATTTTTGCGAATATAGTAATTTTCGTCATTTGGAATGTACTCGTAAGCACTTTTTGAAATGAAATCTTCTGCGAAGAGTGTGAATAAAAGTTTTTTGATTCGGTTCGCGCGTTGGGCACAGCAACCCAAAATCCTTGTACAAATAACTGAGGAGTACCTGTCAGAGTTGCAAAGTTTTGGCTATGTGGACGGCTACTTTTGAATTCATTATTCATAGTCCGCTGTTGAAGTGACACCAACGCCAATACAACCCCAAGGCTCTTTGTAGCCTTAAGTTCGACAAGCCTCTTGTGTGGTGTATTTCACCCTTTATGTAAGTTATCGACGCGTTATTTTATCGGCAGAAAATTAAACCTCGATAAAATATCAACAATCCTATTTTCCAATTAAATGTATCCTATGAATAGAGAAAAATGTGAAAGTTGTGTGCCGGTTTCTCGTTAAATTAATAAATAAAGTACAGCCATTTGAGGAATTATAGAATAACAAGTCTGTACATATATAACTTACAATGATGGCGAGACGGGGCGGAAAGCGAATTCGTATGAATGATCCTCCCCCAGAATATGAAGAACATGGGTGAGTACGAATGCCAATATATTTTATAATTTTTATTTTTGATACCGTATTCTCTGTAGCAACTTTCTAATTTAATAACATAGTAAAATACTAATGGTAGAAGAATGAAAACGGTTGGCTCCTCGAATCTTACAATCTACAAGAACTTTTCAGGGACATATCTGTATTGATGTATCAATCAATTAATCAATATATGAACTGCCCACTTGAGTCATCACGGTTGGAGCTAAAACTTAATTTACATGAGAGGACAACATCGCTCAATCGCTCATTTACACGAGCCTCAAGCAGACAGCAAGGGAAAAGTTTAATTATTTGCCCGCTGCTTTTGGGTTAGTGGGCGGAGGTAGGAAAGGCGTGAGTCTTGAAACCCACCCACTATAATGAGCACTTTTTAAACTTTGTAAAGAGTTATACCTTGTCCGTCCAACTCTTCCACAAACCACTGGGGTACCATTTTATTTTGACAAAATGTAAACTCGGGTTACGCCATCCAAAGTATTAAAGCAGTACACATCCGCGGTGGCGGAAAAAATAACCCTCGTCATATCAACACCGTCTACGCTGACCACAGTATTTTTTGCGCATAACGCCTTTCCGCGTTGGCACCGACAGACTTCATTAGTGACCGAAAATTACAACACTAGGTTCTTTTTTGGGGGTTTTAATAAATGCAACATTATTTCGAGAAAAGAAACCCCTATTAGTTAAACTCAGTTTAAATTTAAACTAAGCTTAAACTGCTGATCCGCTTCATAGTTTAGTTGTTTTGTAGGGCAACACTGTTTTCTTCTTTATGCAGATACACTTGATACGATCGCTTTTAAAGTTTTGAAAGATTATAGACGGAAATTTTAACCATTTGTTGTTGTTAACTAAAGTTGCGTTTGTTGTACAATGTGTTTAAACTTAGATTAAATGACGAACAGACTAAGGGCCAGTTTAAACTTGGTTAGTTTAAACCAGCCAGATCTGGCGTTTAAACTGAGTTTGAGCAACGACCGTCACTGAAAAACTGGCCACTTTAAACTTAGATTAAGGAAACTGCGTTTTAATTGCTGGCTGACACATGATTGGTTTAAGCCAGCCGGTTCGCGCGTTTAAACTAAGTTTAAACCACAGCCGTGCACTGAAAAACTGGCCCATATAGGTTATTTACTATTTCTGTTGGTCGAGGGGTATGAAGTGCAACACCACTAATCTCAGAGAGGCCGTGAACCGCCATTTAAAAAAAAAAAAAATCACGCAATCGGCATTCGACAGCCGGTTCTACGTACGGAATGACCCGGGTTTTACCCGACAAAAGGCCGTTGTTTCGGTGATCCCACCCCGTTTAGGTCGGCGAAGTATCTCATAAGTTGTTCGTCCATAGGGCTACATTTGCTACGTATTCTGCTCAGGGCTAGCATCGAGTCAAACCCAGGGCCAGAAACCTACGCCTGCTGCGTATGCCAGAGACGACTACGCCACAACTCCACCTCAGTCAATTGCAATGCTTGCGAAGGATGGAGTCACCTTGGAGAGTCTGTTCAGGACTACGGACCCATCGGCAGTGGACCACATCATTTGTGGCCCCCTTCTGCTCAAACAGAGCAGCCTTCACGGCTAACCTCAGTCCACCTGAGCAGCTCAATACAAACACCACAACACAACAGACCACAACACAACAGACCACACAACCGCACCACCACACACACACCGCCGCCAACAAGTCCTGGTTCCTCCTACAACCTACAGGGTATATCAGACCAGGATATACCGTAACGTGACATCAGTCAAGTGCAACATCTGCCTTGGCTGGTGCCAGTTTAGGGCATGTTCAGGTCTGCGCACCACGCGAGATTCGACGAGGAACTTCGAGGGCCCCTCTTGCGCCGCTCGATCGATGAACCAACCAACATTGCTTCCGCAGAACACCGGACCTATATCAACTTTTCTAAAGCTGATGGGAAAGGCTTCGCGGAATTTACTGAGAGCACATTCGCTGCGCTCCCCACACGCTGACGTCCTCATTGGTGAACGTAAGCTCCGCAGGATTGTCACTGCTGCTGCAGTCCCCTTCGTACCGGCAGGATGCATCACGGAACCATGTCCAAACTTCCCTGCTGAAGCGGCTATTCTAGCCGATGAGCGTAACAACCTTCGGCAATTAGTGAACGTACATAAGCAGAAGAAGTGGGAAGAGCATCTGAAGACTTGTTTGTTTATTTTATTTATTTATTTATTACGCTAATTTGACCTATGTATATACAATCACGTATATACATTTGAATTATGTATTGCAAAGTTAATATATAATAAAAATAAAATTAGAAATAATGCTTAAAATAAGTGAATCTGTTACACTCTTCTTTCTAAGCTATATAATAGTTTATGTATAGTTAACTAAGATAGCATATTCTCGATGCTGAGTAAGCTCTGGTGTGAGTAAGCTTTGGTCATCCGTGAGGTCACTGTCCAATCCGACGAAGCACGACGACAGGGTCGAAATTTCTTTTGGCGACCATGCTTCGTCGGATCTGGAGCGATGCGCGAGCTATTTTAGCCGACAGTTCATACTACATCTTCCGGCGGACAAAGCCAAGCGTCGAGTGACCAGAAGGCTGCACAAACTGCCAACAACTTGTGCCTCCTTTGCTCTCACTAGCGGCGAAGTTCAGGTGGCCATCGGGAAGGCGAAAGCTTCCAAAGCCATGGGTCCCGACGGAATATGAATGTTGATGCTGAAAAATTTGGGTCCTGTGGGCGTAGCGTATCTAACGGAGGTCCTCAATATGTCAATGGCCACTCTAAGCATCCCAGACATCTGGAAGGTGGGGAGAGTGGTCGCACTGCTCAAACCGGGGACACCAGCCAGCAAATGAGAATCTTATCGGCCGATAACACTCCTTTCCCCGGCAGCGAAGACACTAGAGGCCTTGCTGCTCCCGTATTTCCCGAACCACCTGACCCCAGCGAAGCATCAGCATGGTTTCCGTAAAGTGCACAGTACATCAACAGCGCCATAAACGCTCAGATAACACGTGGCCTTAACCGCAACCGTCCCTGTAAGAGAACTATTCTAGTAGCGTTGGACCTGTCAAAAGCGTTTGACACTGTCAGCCACTCCACGCTACTAGAAGATATAGAGGCTTCCTCTCTCTCACAGAGGCTCAAACGGTGGTCGGCGAATTATCTGAGTGTTCGATCCTCGTCGACAGGGGGTTCCACCGGGTGGTGTCCTTTCCCCATTACTCTTTAACTTTTACATTTCAAAGCTCGCTCAACCACCAGATTGTTTCTTACGCCAAAGATAGCTCGATCGTGGCGTCTGGGAATGGAATTGATGACTTGTGTTCGAAAACAAAGGGTATATCTCCGAGCTTTTTCGCTTCTTCACTGCAAGGAGCCTAAACCTCCCCTAAACAATCCTCTGCGACCTTTTTCACCACCTGGACGAAGGAGGTCAGGCTACCGCTGAGAATTCACGTCGATGATACACCAATTCCGACGGTGAATAA